TCTTTTTCCCACTGCCAGATGGGACGGGCTTGTACTACTGTCTGCAGGGAACTGCTGAATCCCACAAGTGTTCAGCGACCATTTCCCAGGAGGTGGCATGTAGGAATTCCTACACTGAGATTCTCCCTGTGTCCAACTGGCTGCACAGACCACAGAGGTGAGTCCAGCCCAGGAGGTCTGGTCCCATCAGCAGTCCCTGCAGCAGCACAAGAAAGGAAGCTTCCACTGCCTGGAAGCTCTTTCCTGAAGGCTTTTCCCTCTCCTTGGCCATGCCTGGCCATACCCACGTTTTGCCTATGCAGAGCCATCCTGAAGCTCTGGCTTCCTGTGCCTGAGGCATTGCGCATGAGAGGGGTTGTTATACCCCCACATGATGGGTATCCTATGGAAGTCCTTCCTGTTGGCCTTCACTGCATCCTTCTCACCTAGAGGTTCCTGGTGGTTATTGACATGCTCAAACTAGAGAACCTGGACAGCAGTTCTGTGCTGCAGAGGCTGAAATACAGTGATGTGCCAAGCTCTGCACAGGGCTACCAGCTCACCTTCTTCTCCTACGAAGAAGGAGTCTTTAACACAAGGGCAAGTGTGGACACTGGACTGCTGGGCCCTTCAAGGAGCTGTTGGCTCACTGAGAAGCTACACACCTGTTTTCATAACTCCACGAGCCCACTGGTGGGACTGTAGGTGTCCCAGGTGGGTACTGGAGAGCAGCGTCTTTCCACACACCCTACTCATGCAGCAGTTTCCAGGAAGGGACCACTAAGGGCTGCTGAGCATGGTGGGGTCAGGATATTGGTGAGCTGGAAGCAATGGGGAATTGGGAGAGTATCAAGTAGAAGGACTTGGGGGTGTTGGGTGATGAGAAGCCTCCCCATGACCCAGCTTCAGTGTGCACTTGAGCCCAGAACCCCGCTGTGTGCTGGGCTGCACCCCCAGAGTGTGAGCAGCAGCTCAGGGAGGGTATTCTCCCCCTCTGCTGCGCTCTGGGGAGACCCCCTCTGCAGTCCTGTGTCCAGTTCTGGCGCAACAACACAAGATGCACATGGAACTGTTGGAGCGAGCCCAGAGGAGGCCACGGAGATGCTGCAAGGGTGGTTCTTACTCTGACACACCAGCTGGGGGTTGAAACTGGATGAGCTTTAAGGTCCCTTCCAACCAAAACCATTCTAGGATTCTGATTCTATGAATGAATCCCACTGATTAGAAAGGTAGTTACCAAAATGCCTGTGGTGTCTTCCTTAAAGCAAGGGCCAGATTTCAGTTTTTCTGTGCTTGGATTGCTTTTGCAGCTCCCAGTTTGGTTAAACCTACTCGTGGGGCAGCACCTGAATATCTTTTTTGAAGTGACTTTGTACTGGACAAAACCAGCTACACCAAGTCTCCTTGTGGACAGGCATGATGATATCAAATCTGGTGTGGACTGAACTCACCTTTCACTTGCACCATGACTTTACTGCTAGCTCCTGGTTTTGGAATTGAAACTTTGAAACTCTTCCTCATTAGCCAAGGGACCATAAAGCCCAAGGTCTAAAGCAGCCATGTTGCAGCCCAGAGTTTGGTGGTAGCTTCTTAGGTTCTAGTACCAGTTGCTGGAGCACAGTTGTGCTGTCATCAGGCAAAGCCCAAGCCTCTGCAGTGCCCTGCTGCTGTGGGGGGAGGGGTGAAGGCTCTGTCTGGGGATCAGACAGCTTCTCACTGCAAATCTGGCTGACGTGGAATGGCTCTGCAGAGGCTGCAAAACTGTATTTGCAGGGCTTTGCTTATTAAGCTGAGTGCTTCTTATAGTTCAGACTAGCCTATCCTCTCAGCTTCTGGTTACCAGCGGTATCTCTGTGTGCATGGGAATAAGTATTTAGTGCAGTAACTATACTTGGCTTGGTATTCAAACCTGTTGATCAAACATTCAATTTATTTTTAACACTGGAGGTCTTCTTGATCTCCTTCAAAGCCTGTCATGCTTCCTACCCTGGGTGACGGCCCTACTCATTTCACATCTCCAGTAGTCAGTCTCTCAAGGACAGTTTTCACGGTCACAACTTCTTGGGCTGGCTCATCTGTTTGGACCTAGTAAGCCAGGCCAATATAGGTATCCAGCATCTGATCATCAATACCAGGATTGATCGTGCAGAAGGAGGTCTTCAGATCATCTGCCTTCACCTCCCTGTGCAAAAACAACTCAATCACTGCTGTGCTGTGGTAGGTGAAAGGAATGTTTACTTAGTGGTGCCACAGCGAGAATCTATGTTGCTTGAAATGCAGAGCAAAGATGACTTTTGGTATTGTTATCTCTGCTTCTAGTATCCCTTTGGTTTTTAAACACACATGTAATAAAGACTACTAAGTATGAAATTTCATACTGAAGGGAAATTAGGAAATTTTCCATTTGTCATAACCTTGGAAGAACTTAATTTCACTTCTGTGCATTGTGATATCCTTTGCTGCACAACTGTATATTCCCTTGCTAATTCAGTGCCCATATTGGACAGTACATAACATCATGGGCATCTACCCACCTTCGGTGTTCTCCTCAGTGCTCAGTGCATGGCACCAGCCTTATTCACTAGGCAGTAACTGCCTCTTGGTTTGAAGTGGAATTATTTCTCAGATTAGCACCTTTAAATCTGTAGTTGTCAGTCCCATTCGCACTTCACACTCCTCAGAACCACTCGCTGAGGATGTACAGGATTTTACTGCCATTTTTGGAGAGCTAAGGGGTGTTGAGACATGAGACTTCAGGTGCCGAAGGGGATTACTGGTACAAGCCATCATCTCTACTCACTGCCTGCTATATCCAAGTCCTTTGGGTGAGGAACTGCCGCTGTGCAGTGTTCTGCAGAGTTTTGGTATTTAGTGCAAGTGAAAGATTCACAGCCAGGGTTCCCTCTGTGCATGCTGCCCTGATCTGCTGCTCCCATCAGCCCCTTCCCTTCAACACTTACATTTCCCAACTCATTCTTCAGCTGTCTTAGATGCTACTGCTTCTCCCTGACATACTGGGTCCTGAGCTTGGCAACAAAAGGTTCAGCATTCCCTTCCTCATCCTGAAAGAAGTTACAGGTGTGTTAGCACTCAACATGTGTTCTAGTTTGGATAGGAGCAGTCCCCAGTGTGTATAAAATAGCATAGCCCTCCCAGAAATGGAATTTCCGCATGAAAAGTGAAAATAAAGAGGAAGAATATGGAAAACCTTCTATCACAGAAAAACACAAGCTTGCATTGCTGTTGTCTTTAGATGGTCTTCAGGTGTTAGAGCTTCTGGTGGGCACTGCAACTTTGTTAGTCTCGTAAACACAGTTAATCTGATAAAACAAATTTAATACCTAAATTAGACTTAATCTGAATCAAAAGGAAAACTTAGTATCATCTTACCTCTTTGAATAAGGATAAGTAGTCAATGAGGTCTTCATTGCTGTCCAACTTGCACCTGCTTGCATCAAACAGTTCCTGGATTGACTCTTTCCTTTTCAGGGGAAAAGCTTCCCTCAGAGCCGTGCTGCACAGAGACAGGAATTTAAAGATGAGAAAACACACCACACACCGCCCCC